CACCACCTTAATTCTCCAGACGCCTTCCTTTAATCTCCAAATTTGTGAGACTGGGTATTCAATCAGTCTTCTTCAAGTCTCAGGATCCTTTGAAAATAATTATCAGTGATAATGAAAGAAAGAATTCTTGGAGTGGAACAAGGTCCCAAGGAGTCCAGTTTCAGGAAAGGGAAGATACTGTTTCCCATCCAGGCCTTGTGGGTTTCATTTATTAGGTTATTTATATCTCGGTTATTTTAAACAGTTTTTATCTCTCTCACATATATATTTATTTATATGTGTGTATTTATATATGTGAGTGTGTATTGCTAGGGTGGAAGACATGCTCACTAATTGTCCTACTTATTATCCTTTGACTTCAGCCTGGCCTCTGGTTTCCTCTGGGGCACCCAAGTTTCAACAGCTCTAAGGCCCCTAAGCTTTGTCTTCATCTGTGTGGGTCTGATTTGTTTTTCAGGCCGCCATGATGGCTGAGGAGCTGAAGAAGGAGCAGGACACCAGCGCCCACCTGGAGCGGATGAAGAAGAATCTGGAGCAGACAGTGAAGGACCTGCAGCACCGGCTGGATGAGGCCGAGCAGCTGGCGCTGAAGGGCGGCAAGAAGCAGATCCAGAAACTGGAGACGCGGGTACTTGCAGGAGCAGCTCTGGCAAAGCTGAGCCCAGCAGCCTCCACACTAATTTCTTGATCATTCATGCTCCAACCCCACACTAATTTCCTGACCATCTCCCTCAGATCCGAGAGCTGGAGTTTGAGCTGGAAGGGGAGCAGAAAAAGAACACAGAGTCTGTGAAGGGCCTAAGGAAGTATGAGCGGCGAGTCAAAGAGCTAACGTACCAGGTAGGCAGAAAGAAGACCCAACAAGCATTTTCTCTGTAAGGTGCAAATGCCACCTTGGATTCTCCACCTGTGTAGAGGAAGAAACACTTGAGCCCAGCAAACTAGCCAGGCCTTGTACATCTCTATTTCCTCTTCTCTAACAACATTCCATTTTTGTCATTTTTAGAGTGAAGAGGACAGAAAGAATGTGCTGAGATTGCAGGATCTGGTTGATAAACTTCAAGTTAAAGTCAAGTCGTACAAGAGGCAGGCCGAGGAGGCTGTAAGTCAGGGAAGAGGGTAGCTTTGCAATGGTGGCCTGGTCCAGTTCCTACGGGAGCTCAGAGAGAGAATCTTATCTGTTGGGCTCTTTGGTTTCAGGATGAACAAGCCAATGTTCATCTCACCAAATTCCGGAAAGCTCAGCATGAGTTGGAGGAGGCTGAGGAACGTGCTGATATTGCGGAATCCCAAGTCAATAAGCTTCGTGCCAAGACCCGAGACTTCACTTCCAGCCGGGTAAGCTATTGACCCTGGTGATTGCAGGGAACCCTTTCCTTTAGGGCGGGGGAATCTCAGGCTCTGGAAGAAAAGGAATTTGCTTCAAGTCTCTGAGCTGAGCACTAAAGTCAGGTCAGTAGTTGACAATACAAAAAACATCATTCATCCAGAAAAGGGATGAGATGAGGAGTGCCTAGTGAGCTCTCTCAAGCGCCCCCTGCTGGTATAAAAGAGGCTGCTGCAGGAATACCCTGCAGAGCCGAATGAGCTTATCTGCAGTCACTATACAAATAGGAGGATTACTACTCAGAGTATGGGACTTGCTCTATTTGATGGCCAGTTTCTAAGGCTGTAGGGTGACTTCACATTGCTTAATGGTACATCCTCCCAAGGTCCAAAAAGTATTTTGTGTCCCACCAAGATAAACAAGTAACTCCCTGATGCTTGCTGGGAGAGAGGATGGAGGAAATATGTTTGTGCTGCCTGACTTGATTAAAAGTGTCCACTTTCTTTCCAGATGGTAGTCCACGAGAGTGAAGAGTGATCGAGCCCTGCTGGAACAGGACAGAAGATATGCAAAATGTATATTTTCATGCTTCCTGACCAACATTTAACTTCCATGTGACTCCTTTTCACATGAAATAAATTTTACCTTGTTTTCAGTTTGGGGCATTTCATTGGATTTGTCTTCCTCTTTCCAGCCTGGAAATGATTCCTTGGATGATTTTTATGCCCAGTGTTGAACTCTCCATAAGCAGAGGGCTTTGTAAATGCAATTGATGAGTGCATATATATGGGAGGGAGAGACTGCTTTGGGTTTAAACTTGAGAGGTTATATAAAAAAAGAAAAAAAAGACAATTAGGTTAGCCATTGCTTTGGCAGTGGGTAGGACGGAGTTTTTCAAAAGAGTCATGTCTTAATATGATATAAGGGAAACACATATGTAGGTTCAGAAAACTCTGATTCAACTTCATAGGGTTATAAGGAAACGGACCAGATCACCCTCCTCTATATTCTACAGGGGAAATATCTAGTAAATATTTATTGGGTGGTTGCTCCATGCAAGCAACTGTGTCAGTAGGAATACACAGATGAATAAAACAGTGTCAGGTCCTTTTAATAGTTCAATCTAGATTTCCCACATATCTGTTATCTTGGCTGAATCTGCAGTATTTCAGAGCAGCACAACCCCAAACCTCACTACTCAACTCAGGGTGGGCCTGTCATTATCTAGAAAAATACAGCAGGAAGTCAGGATAACTATCCTGCTGACCTGTGGCTGGACATACTGTCTTCTAACCTGGGACCGTTTGTCATAATTGAACTCATCAGAAAGGGCTGCCAAGTTCTTTTATTTATCTGATTCTAGAAGATTAGGAGATGACCCAGCTTGACTCAGGTGGGAATTAAAGTAGTTTGAATCAGGTGGGAATTAAAGTCCATGGGGAGTTCTCTTCAGTGCTCAATACCAAGTTAAGCAGCTTCTGGAATTTGCCATTAGGATAGAAAGGGGGCTGCTATGGATGTCCTATTTTGCCTGTCAGTGATTTCAAAGCTTTTTGTTTCTGAGGCCAAATCACTGTCACTTTGACTTATTTTCAATACTTCACAGCAACACTATGACAGAAAAGTGAGATGTCCTTCTGGTGGTATCTGTTCCTGAGAGGAAATTACAGCAATGTGAACAAGTCTGATCCATGCCCAGGCCTCAGACCTGGCCAAAAGGGCTACAGTCATTCAGTCATTCAGAATTTATGGAGACCGCTATGGATTGCTTTCCTTGGAAAGCTGGCATCAGAGAGAGCAAACAAAGTTTCTCACTGCAAAGATATCCCAATTATTAAGAAAAGAGGAAATGAATTGGAATTTCACCACTCTGATAAGAAATAGAAACCCTTAATGAATTATGACTACTAGAATCATTAGAAAATAGGCAGCTAGACATAATATGTCCCCTGACGGAGGTACACACTGTTACCTACAAAGAATGCCTGCCCAACAGCTTCCCTGGATCTGATCAAGCCTAGGGATGTGACTGTTACCAATTTAGAAGCAATACAGGGGATAGAGACATTAGGTGCAATCAATAAAATCCAAGAAATAGGGAAATCGATGGAACAAATCACCTAGTTCTTTCTTTTTTCCCCCATCTAATTCTTTCAATAAATAAATTGCAAATCAAAAATAATAGAAACGAAAGGGGGAACTATAGAATAAAAGAGATGTAATGGGCTTATCTATCAATTGCACTATATGGACTTGGTTTGTATAAATAAGTGTTAAAACATAGATACACATATGTGTACTCTATTTTGTTAAATCTGAATACAGACTGGATATCTGATGGTGATAAGAGATTCTTGTTCATTTTTAAGGCATGTGGTACTGTGATTATGTTTTCTGAAACAATCCTTATCTTTTAAAAGCACATGCTAAAATATTTCCAGATAAGAAGGGAAGGGAAAGTAAGCAAACTATCTTTCAAGTCAACTCATATGACAGAATTTAAGATGTGAAGAATTAATAAAAGAGGTTTCTGATTTATTTTATACAGAATGGGGCCTCAAACTTGAAAATCTCTTGAGGCTTTGGGACATGACAGTGTCTACTTATGGGAAAATGTGCCATGTCTCATAAAGGAGATGAAATGAAGTTTGATTCTGGAAGTTACCTATGACTACCTCTATTAGGCTTTGATTTTGTGAAGGATATACATGAGAAAAATTCATTTTCTAAGAGTTACTATTAAGATGAATTTTACCAGCGTTCCATATAGTAAAAGATATCCATGATTATGAAACCATAAGCCCTGTTATTGAAGAGAGAAAAATGAGAGTAGGAAGTCCCTTCGAAATAAAGAACTGCTGTGCCACAGAGGCCAGAAAGCGGGTGGGGCGAGTCTTATCTGGCAATGGAAAGGAGGAAGATAAAATCAGCCACAATTTACTGACTCTTACTGATGCACTCAGTACACACTATCTCTTATCATCCATATAAAGACTCAGTGATGATGAACTTGACTTAATACACCTGCTTATTATAGATGATGAAGAAACTAAAACAGTGGGCAACTTGCTGAAGGTCAAAATGGCGGAGCTGAGCATGTCTTAAGATTCCAAGACTGATTCATCCTACAACGCACTGACTATTTATCTGAGCAGCTGGCCTAACAGATATGAGAAACACCTTGAGGAGGTGGATCATGGGACAAAGAAGTGTCAAAAATGGGCTAATAAGACCCAAAGAGTACTTCTTTTCTGATTACGATTTCTGATCACATCTTTTAGGCATTCCATTATAACCCTTCTCTTGCCTACCAAATTGGCCTACCTCATCCTCAGATAGTCTACCCTCAGACAGGCCATTCCATCATTTGGTGGAAACATGGGTGACCTTTAGCTTATTTGTGATGTCCACTGGCTCTTCTGTTCATGAGCTCTAAAACAGGATGGCAAAAGGATGAAGGGTCTTCTTCCAGTGTATGTCTTTGGGAGGGGTCCCCCATTTACAAATTTTAAGGGCCATTGCAATTATTTTTGCCTTTTTAAAATATATTGCCACAGTCTTCTATTCTTTTTTTTCTGGTATTGAGTTTATTTTATTTTTCTTCCTATAATCTTCATATGATCCAGAAATCTTTGGTTTTCTGAATTCCTTGTAATGAATCTCTAGTCTCAAATCCCAGCAGTGGATTTCCATTTTTATTACTTTTTATAATACTTTAATTATACAAGAAATACATAAGAATAGGATTCAAAAAAGATCTGTCAAGTATAAAAGGACTGCCAACTAGGATGGTAGCCTCCTTCCTTATTTGGAACAGATGAGATCTTAACTTATTATTGGCAGGTGTCCCCCCTCTTAAGGACATGAGGGACACAGTTTCTAATAGGAGTAACATGTCCTTATGAGGGAAAATGGGCTGTAGTTTGCAGCCTGCCACCAGTTGGTGAGGGGAGCTTTTCATTTCTCCATGCCTGGGTCATCGCGACAGCTGAGAGTTTTAATAAAGCAAGTGTGCCTCAGAATGGGGGATGAGCAACCACCCAGAGCACAGAGGTCTATTTACACCACTCCCAATAATCCCACTGCTAAAAAGAGCTGAAGCACAGAGGTGCCTTGGTGATCTGGTTGCCTTCAGCTATGCCGAGACATTCCTGAGGCTCTCATTCCGGAGGCTCTCATTCTGGAGCCAAGGACTGAAGACGGCTCCGATTATTTTTATCTAAGATGTTGCATGCTTTCCATGACAGCAGGGAACAAGAAGCTTCTACTCTTGGGCATTTTAGAGCTTACTCCATGTTATAGCGATGAGATGTGGCCTTCCTTCAGGAGTCCTGAGGCGATTAGGAGAGCAGGTGATGTTTGCCTAGGTCATCCTCATGGAGAACCCTGACACCACCTTATGGAGAAAAGAGGAAACTTAAATTAAAAATATTAAAAAATAGAGCATTATCATCACATAGGCTTCCCCAGTGACTCAGGGATACAAAGACAAGTGAAATAGAACCTCAGAGCTTAAGAACAGTAAAGGGAATATAAGCACTCAAATAATAAGAAGAAAAAATAACTAACCATAGAGGTAGTGGGTAATTGAGGAAGGTGACAGGGTAAAAAAGTCTTATAGTCAAAAAACAAAGCAACAGTCAATGGTTTTAGCAAGGAGCACAGTGTTGTGTATATAGCATGCTCAACACATACTTGAATCAAATTCCTAGTAGTGAGAATACAAGGGAGGGAGATGTGTTGCTCTTGAAGAAAACAATTTCTCTCTTTTTTTTCTATATCAACGATCTGCCTCCACATATCAGTAACAAAGAGAGAATAATAACCAGAAGTCCAGAGGGTTTTTTGTTTTTACAAATATGGGAACAATGCTATCCATGAATTTTTATTATTATTATTATTATTTTGGTTTTCTGAAAGAACAAGGATAGGCATGGCTATTTGCAATTCACACAGGCTCATAACCCTAAAGTGAGGATCAGGTATCTGAGAGAGGCCCAGGGGGGTAAGGCGCTGCAGTGTGAAGGCAAGAGATCCTCAGTGCCTAAGGCCAGGGTCAGAGCCACCATCCCTCCAAGTTTTGCTACCGGAAGTTTCAGGCATGTGTCTCCTTACACTGGTCTTTCTGAATCTGTTATTTACCAACTTTTTACTATGTGCCCAAAATCATGAATAGAAGCAGAAATCCTCAAGCTAGACCAGGAAAAGCGGGAGGGGATGAAGTTCATGTTTCAAAGTCTCAAGGCTCAGAGAAGAGGGATGGGGGTGGAGGGACACACATTTCCAAATATGGCCCAGTCTCAGCCCTGGGTGAGATGAGCATCCACAGCAGCTGTGCCTATTTTGGGGCCTGGGGTCTCTGTCCCAAGAGCAGCAGGTGTCAAGACCTGACGGACAGGGCATCCCGGCATCATTCCCAGGGGCAAAAGCCAGCTTTTCAATTAATTGTCTTCAGCTAGAAATATCAATTGTCCTTGTTTTCTGTTTCCTAGGGACCCACCGGCTTTGGCTATTCAAGCCTGCCTCATCTCACAGGTGTGCTCAGGGCAATTTGCAGGTTTTGGAGAAGAGGGTAGGTTTAGGACATGCATCCCTTTCTGAACTGGTAAGGAGGGAAGGAAATATTCTCTCACAATCCCACCCTGATGCAAAAAGCCCACAGAAGAGAGAAGTTAACGGGGCAGACAGGTTGACTGCCTTTGCTACCATCCTAAGATTTAGTGTTCTGGGCTCCTGACCATTCTGATGAAGGAGCAAAAGGACATCCAGTCACGGAGAACTGGCATTCGAGCTGCCAGGCAGTTTCAGACATTCTTCTGAACACTAGTATAATAACTACCAACATGCCAGGAACAGCAAATGTTGTAAGCCTCCAGATACCTCATTCCTTGTTGAAAAGTAGATTAAAAAACCATGAATTTTCACCTTTTAAAATGATTTGCTTTCAGTCCCAGAGTAAACCCCAATCATAACAGGGTCTTATGTGTAGTGAGCAATCCATAAATACACACTGATTAGATCTGATGTGGCCATCACTGACCTGCCATTGGCAAGAGGACACAGCCCCGTGGAACTCGTTCTCATCTTTTGAGAGGTTCCATAGACATCACAGAATAAAGCCGCTCCCTTAGGGATGGATGATCAGCATTTCAGCTGTGACCTCACTAAGTCCTGTTACAATAGGGTGTTTCTTCCCCGCACTTCCTCTGTGCCCACCTTAGAGATGGTCTCAGAGGGGCAGTGCCTGCTAGGCGGTCTCTAAACCTAGCTTGGGTGCTGTCAGCAATGAGACTCCAACCTCTGTAGGTCTCTTCTCTTCTATTCCCAGAATAGCTCCCCAAACTGAGATTCAAATTTCTGACTCTGAGCTGGAGACATTTCTGCTGCCTGATCAGCTGGTGCTGAGCAGGGCTCCTGGTCACTGGACCTGGTTCCCTCCCCTCCTTCCTTCAAATTCTGTCTTGTCTTGTAATCCCGAGAAATCCATGGTCTTAGTTTCATTGTCTGAAATACAGGATAAGAGATGAACATAGGCTTTTTTTGTGGCTTTGACATTTATGTAAGAAAACATTAATAGTAGTCCTATGGTTTAAATCATTTGAGCTCCTGAGATAAAAAGACCGCTTGAATACTAATCATTATTCTAAAAGAAAGGAAGAAGCAATTCTGACAGGTCTCTCACTGCATTTAATGGCTCCTCTGAAATCTGATTTGGATTTTAAAGGCTGGTGATATGAAGATCTGGCGATCTCAGGTGCACATGATTCACAAGCTATTTAGTCCCAAAGAGCAGGCAGGTGCTCCTTGGCTTACAATGCAGTTCTATCCTAGGAAACCCATCAGAAGTTGAAAACATCAGTGGAAAATGCATTGAATCCACCTAACCTACCAATCATCCTAGCTTAGTCACACAGCACACTGGAATGTTGGTTGTTTTCCCTGTGGTCACAGGGCGGACTGGGAGCCCCGGATTGCGCCACCGTGCAGTAACAGCAGAGGATGTGCAGCCTATAACTGTTGGGAAAAAGGTACAAATTCAAAATTCAAAATACAATATCTGCTGAATTCATATTGCTTTCCCACCACTATAAATGGAACCATCATTGTAAAGCAGAAAGGACCGCGTGAGATCAGGAATCACAGAGCAAGAATGAGGCACCAAAAGAAGGTTTATTGGGGGACACTCCCCCGGAGGTTCAGGGGTCTGCGAAAGGGTGAGGGCCAGGGAAGTCACTGGCGGGAAAGGCAAGAACAATACTAATAATGGAAACTGTAGGGAAGAGGGACTAGGCCATCTAAACTGCAGCTACGACAGCAGGTCGGCAGAGTGGCGTTTAGGAGGATCATGTCTGTTGTGGGGTAGTCAGGGCTGACTGAGTTCACAGGGCGATTGCTTCAGCCAGCAGGAACCCATGGTGGTTGGGGTCGATTGCCATGTCAGCTTCCAGTTGGCCATTTTGGGTTGCCTCAGCCAGGTGGAAAGTCCCCACAGCCACCATGAAACCAGAGAGTGAAGGGAGGCCTGCTGACCTAACAATCATAAGTTGGGCACCCTCTGTACTGAGTTCAAGGAGAATGATGTCACCACTGAGTCCAAATTAATTGACACAAGTGAATTCTCCTTAGGCCTATGTGAAACATGATTCTGACCTGACACTCCTCTGACCAGACACTATCAGGGGCCCCTCAGCCTATCAGTTGAGTACATTCTTCTTAGACTGATCCCACACATACCTGCCAGCATGGCTCTCTTTTGTTACCCATCAGGTTGCTTCTACTTGTTGAAATCTTGGCCACTTCAGGTTCTCTTGGTCCTCACCACCCATAGGGGTCATGCTCCAATCTTTATGTACTTTCTAAATTACCTCTGCTCTTCCTGAGTATCAGTTGTGACTTATTGTCTTACCTTGATAACCTAGTTCCTACCCCAATACCTTGCATTTCCAAAATAACACACACACACACACACACACACACACACACACACATCTTAAATAGTGAAAAAACACTGGATTAGGAGAAAGAAAATCTGGGTTTCAGTCTTAACTTTACCTCGTTTCTTTCATAATCCTGAACAGCTCACTCTCTAGGTTTTTGAGTTTCTTACCTAAAAAAGGAAAGGTCTGCATTATCACAAGGATTCCTAGACTGAGCTGGGCACTGATATTTTTAAAAATACAAAATTTAAGGTTCTACCCTCAGAGACTGACTGGATTAAAGACTGGGAATCTGCATTTTAAAGACTCCCTGGCAATTTTAACAATCTGCTTAAAGATAAACTCTTAGAAGAGTTGTTTTAAAAAGCAGATTCCTAGGTCCCAAGCCAGATCTACTAGGTGGGAACTTCCAAGGCAGAGACATGGTAACTTGCACAGTTAACAAGAACCCCAGATGACTTTATCATAAAGTGGATCTGGGAAACACAGGCCCAGATCTGTGCTGCACAAAGAAGCCTAAAGACCAATAGTATTGCATCCACCTGGGGATTTGTTAGAAATGCCAAACCTCAGGCTCTCCTGGGCTACTGAATCAGAATCTAATTCTAGCTCTTGCTGGACTTAGCAAGAGTTTCTGGTGATTGGCAGCACAATAGAATTAGAGAAGCATAGCACTCTTGTCTGTTAGCATGCTTCAGAGTCCTCTGGAGGGCTTGCTAATGGACAGCCACACCATTGATTCCCTACCCTCTAGTCTCTGATTCTTCGGTATGGGTGGGGCTTGGTGACATGCTGCTGCTGGTCCAGGGAACACATTTTGAGAACCATGCCCTGGAGTGTTTCTCAAAATTTTATTTTCAAGAGTGAAACTCTCTATTGATTCATTTTTGTTTGTTTGTTTGTTTGTTTTATTGATCTCTCAGGCACTGGCAAAATCCTATGCACTCACCCTAAGTGTGTAAGATTCTATGAATTAACTATGTGTATAACTATTTAAATGCCAAGTTTTGGGCACAATGGAATTTGTTGTAAAAGTTTCAAGAAAGTCACCACATGGGAATGGATATAGTGTGTGGTCATCCACACAGAGAAATCCTTTCCTCTTTCCCCTCCCTCTGTTTGGAGTGGTGGGAGATGCTGCTCTTTGGATTGCTGCTTGAAAAGCTACATGAATTCCCCATGGGAGTATGCTTTGTTACTCTCAGAAACTGATTTTCTCACTCTTGTCCCCAGAACTGAAACTTGGACACCGGAATTTGAAGGGTAGGGTCATGTAGAAGGTGAGTGACCACTTCAAGGTCACTTCATCTGTTGCTGTGCTAATGATGAGTTCTGCTTCCTCACATGTTGAAGTTTGAGCGTTAGAGAAGCACACCAAGGCAAGCTTATGAAGCAGGGTTTATTTTAACAGGGGTAACACACACAAAAAAAACCTTCTCCTGAGAGGGAGAAGGGGGCCATAGCTGGTATCCTGGTATCCCAAGAAGCCAGGAGTTCTGCCCTTTTTATACGTCCTAGGCTTCCTTTATTCTCCTGTCCTCTTCCCTTATCTTTCTCCTTCCTGCTTATGGGACTAGGAATTTGACTAGACCTAGGAAATGCTCCGTGGGATGGCCAAAAGGTGAGAAACAGGCTGAAGGGGGAGAGGCAGGATAGAGCAGCTCAGGACACATTAATTAACAACATAGGGAGGAGCAATTCCTGCAACAGGTTACCTTAGCAACAGGTTGGAGCAGGGGGAGGTTCTTGATTAGGGCTCTGAAGGAATTAACATTTTAATCCCTCAGGGGGCAGTCTCCAACTTCCAGGGACTCACTCAAAATTGGCCTCCTTGATTGACCTGACTCGATTTACCTATCTATATTGCCTGCCTAATTGTGGCTTCACTAGGACCACAGAACTAGTGCTTGCCCTGGGAGACCCAGTGCGCTCACTTTCCTACTTCCTGCCCCCTTTGTTTACACGGTCTCCCAGCTGTCCCATTTCAACCACCATCAGTGCAAGCTCCCAAGTGGTGCCTTCCACGCTCTCTTCTAGAAGGCTCTGTTGCTCGGCCTGACATCTTTCATTCCCTGACATCAGAGACCCCCACTAGGTGGCACTGCTGCTCTGCCAGCATCACAGTCCCCAGTGAATCTACATTACGTACACTCACAAGACTGGGATTCTAATTAGAATGAGATGAACTCCATGTTTGTATAAATAAGTCAAATTATACTCTATTGTCATGTACTACTAAAAAGAACAAAAAGTAAAATTAAAAAAAGATCCTTATGTGACAGAGCTGACTATGGCTCTGGCAGTGTGGGTGAAGAGCAGAACGCTCCCCTAAATTCTTTGTCTACTTCTGTTAGAGAAGTTCAGAATGGTGCTGTGCCATATTGGAGTCAAAGAAAAAGAAAGTTGGTAGCACCAACTCTAATTTAAAATTTTGTTCTTAATGGATTTTTTTGCATTAAGTTTGATTTTATTATTTTTATTTATTATTTATTATGTATTTGTTTATTAGATGCATATCCATATACACATATAATAAACATAAGCATGTTGTAGTAAACATAAATATACATATGCATATATATATATTTTGGGAAGGATACTGGGTATAGAACCCAGGATTTCACACATGCTAGACAAGTCACTGAGCTCTCTACAGTTTCTTAAATTTGATTTTTTTTTTAAATTTGCAATACATTATGATTCATCTGAGTTTTCTGGATCACCCTCTTAGCTTTTACACTGTGGGGGTGGGGAGCTACTTGCCTCCCCCTCATTTGGAGTTGAGCCACAGTAGTGTGATTTGTGCCCCAGTGTCAACAAGCATTATGGTGATGGCTGTTCTTGATGCTGTTGGATGGTTCTTTTATTTTTTGAGGTTGAGACACTGAGCTGGGGCAACTTTTAGGGCAGAAACTGTTTCTGGGGACAGAAGCTTTGGGCAGGATCAGTTTGCTCTCACTGGCAGGTACCCAAGTCACTTCAGGAGGCCACTCATCCTCCCTATGAATCCACTTCTTCCAGCCAATATCCCTGAATAGTCCTGGGTCCCAGAGTGCTACCATGGGTCACATGATGAAGACCCTGCTAATGTGAGAGAAAGGTCTCCATCCCCTAAACCCAGCATATCATCTTGCCTTCTAGGGCATTCCCCTGCCCGGATGGATTTAATTCACCTCACAAAGGGGATATAATGCCTATCACTCCTTCACATGCTGTGTTTAAGCACCTGTATCGTCTCTTCTTCTTGCTTTGAGAGGGACCTTTTAGCTTTCTTTCCAGTAATAAACTAGTGCTCCTCTGTAGCTCTCTGTGGCACCTCTTTTGATGGTCCTACTTTCTTTCCTTTTTTTTTTTTTGCAGTGCTGAGGATAGAACACAGGGCCTCGTGCACACTAGGGAAACACACTACTATTGAGCTACACCCCTAGCTTCTGGTCCTACTTTCTTTATATGGGCCCAGGCTCCCTCTACAAAGTAAAGTGAAAGAAAAAGAATCAAAACAAGCTGCCCACTGAACCCATAAGCATGCCCTTACTCCCAACACAGGCTCAGAAACAACCTGAGGAGCTTTTAAAAATTTCAGTGATGCCCATAGCCCATATTCTGGCTCACACCTATGGTCCTAGCTACCAGGAAAGTGGAGGCAGAAGGATCACTTGAACTCAGGAGTTTGAGACCAGCCTGGGCAACAGAAGAAGACACTACCCTATCGTGTCTCAAAAAGAAAAAAAAAAAAATCTCAATACCCAGGACACACCCCAAATCAATTAAATCCGAATCTCTAGCAGGCAGTCCCCAGGCATCAGTAGTTGGTGACATCTCCAAACTTTCAAATGGAAACAGTTCCCAACCAGTGGGAGCCAGTGTACCCCAAACAGACCTGAGTTCTCCTGAGCAAAGGCTGTTACCTACAGGCATGTGTGGGCGCTGCTGCCTGTGGTAGGACAGCAGACTGAGGGACAACCAAACATCAGAGGCTTTTAGGCTTGAGAACTCAGTCTTTTACCCACTCCAGATTCTCCTGTATAAACCTGCCAGTGACCCCCCAGCTCAAGCCCTTCCCAGGATGTCCCACCTCCACAGGTCCACTATATTCACTAGTGGCCAAAAAGATGCTTTCATATGCCACTGAACTTGGCTCTGGACACTGGAGATACATGGGAAATAAAATTACCCTCTTGTCTCTTCAAGGGTCATCAGAGAGTCGCCATATTCCTAAGAAATTACGTTCATCTCTACCAACTGCTCCCTGTTCCTGAGTCTTGCCCCCGCTTCCTGGCTATCCTCTTATGGGTGGGTTACAGTGGCAACATCCTTCCATCATCATTAAGCTCAGGTTCTAAGAATTTTATCTATTTTTTTAAATTATAGAAGTATTTTCATAAAAATGCATTTATAAGACATAAAATAGAAATGCCCCTGCCTAGTCCATTCTCCTCTCACTTCCAGTCTCTGGGGCAGGGAAGGGTGGGGAGATACCATCCTTAACAGGTTACCAACACCCAGAACTGAATGTCATGTTTTCAGAGTGAGACATCCTCTCTGAGCTTCAGTTTCCTCATATGTAACATGTGAATAGTTACTGTACCTACCTCAACGGATTACTTGTATGACACAAAGAGCCTGGTATGGTATTGTTGGATAGTAATGGTAGTTCCCAAAGCTAACTCAATTATCTCAGACAGTTGCTGAAGCCAGATAGATATGAAGTACTCTGGCCTGGCCTGCTAGTTATACTCACATCACAGTAGGACTGGGTTCATGTGGGTTAATAAACTCAGCCTGAAGCCCCAGGGCTAATGGTATCTGCTAGTAAGCACTAAATCAAAAGCTTCCAATCCTTTTTAAATCAAGTTGTATTTGATGGAAACTGCCACAAGAGGGCAGTGCTGGGCCACTTAAGAAGGGGATGACATCATGGTTGGATAAATGTAGGTCCATCCAGCGGAGTTGCCATGGTGGAGGCAGCTTCAATACTACACACCTCGGCTGTAACCTGGAGTGTCCTGCCTGCTAGTCTACCTAGGTATCAGTTCAACAGAACCCCCAGGTGTCAGGCTATGTAGAGGCAAATGCATCCAAACTCTTTTCCACTGTCCTTCTCCAATCTAAGCCCACTTCATAATCATTAAGCTCAGGTTCTATTCTGATGTCCCACAACAGGTTCCCT